CTCTCTCTCTCTCTCTCTCTCTCTCTCTCTCTCTCTCTCTCTCTCTCTCTCTCCTTCCTTCAAGCAAATCTTCTTAAAGACATTATATCAGAAGAAAGAGACACAAACAGCAAGACAACACACCTCCCAATGCTTTGACAGGCAGGGGTTGTGGAGGTGATAAAACTAATTAGAAGTCTACTTGTATCGGACAGCCTATCACACCACCCAGCCCCCAGTCCCTTCTGGCTTTGTCCACATCTGGAAGGAAAGCTGCAACCACCTCTGGGGCTCTGCAAAGCCCGAAAGGCCATTGAATCTCTCTGAAATAACTTCCTTGGATTCTACATCTTGAATAACCTCAGAGATTTGATTTAAAGATTTGATTCAAGGGATTTTAAAGGAATCGAAAGATTTGATTCCACATCTTTCAATGAAATCACCTCTTTGAAGATGCACACAATCCTAATAGTCACCCCTCTTCCTTGAGTTCATCATGACATCAATATGAATCATTTTTAACTTATACTTCATTCCGTCTTTTGCACTGAGCATCAGGGCTGTGGACAAACATTACAAACAGTTGAAATATTGTAGCCACAAATGTAGCTACAAACAAAGTAGAAAATAGAAGTATACTTCATCTTAACAATTGACTTGTGGTTTTCTCATGACATCTGTGCCAGCCTAGCAAAGGTAGAAGTAGATATTATGTCTAAGAGATCTAGAAAGCAAAAGCTCTATGCTGAGTTTTCTTACCATTCAAAAAAATGTTCAAGTACACTCACTACCTTATTACTCAAGCTCTGGTAATGACATCCTTTTATGTCGAGGACAATATAATAACATCCATGATACAAATAAATGCACTTAAGTGCTATTGGAAGATAGAAGGGGGTTAGAATTGACAAAAAACTACTATTTTCAGCACTAGTCTCTGTTGAACATGACATCTCCTTCTGCACTGAAGATACAAATGTTTTTAAATATTTCAGTAACCCTGTGAACAGTTTAGCATTCTGAAATCTCATAGATTTCACCAGGGGAAAAAAAAGTTCTAATTATGGCTGGATTGGATCTCATGTTGTTTGGTCACTAGCTAGCCAAAATTATTTCCCAGTTCTCTTTCGTAAAGGAAAATGCATGAAGTCAGGAATCAGGATGAATGAATACCTCAAACCTTTTTCCTCTCTCATAATTCACATATATTCCAGGGTTTGTTATTGAATGTATCATTCACTATAAGTACAGATTTTAACATAAAGCATGTTTTAATGATCCAAGAATGTGCCAATGTGAGCAGAAGATGAATTTATTTGATGGCCTGTTTATATTCTGACCTGTTTCATAGGCCTTGGGCAGATACCAGCTCACTTTCCATAGGGATTATATTCCAATAAACCACCTGATCAAGAGAAATATTTGTTTGGGTACATGTACGCTATCCTCACTGGTGCCCTAAGAATGTTGTAAATAGGCTTAGAGTTTTGGATATCTTCATTTCTCTGCAAAAATGAACAGCTGTAGCAAAGTACAGAGATAGGTAAAAATCTCTATCAGGTTGGACACCTGGTGACTTCATGGACATCTCTATGTATTTCCTTGAACTACAATACATAATTGTGTATTGCATTGCTGCCTTTTGTGGTTTCCCTCCTCCACAACTTCCTAGTTCAGCCTACAGAGATGTCTTAATAGTCTACTATGCATGTCTTAACCAACTCAGCCCTGAGAACAGCCCCAGTCAGCTAAGGCAAGAGGACACAAAAATTAAAATAATAATCTGCAGTAGCATACAGCTTCATTTTACATTCCACATCACACTGTGTAACAGCTGAGTGAAATTTTGTTTGGTTTGGATAGCATTGTAAATTAGGCATATTCATATTCTAAACTAGTAAGGTCCCCAATATAGTAATGACACTCCGGCACTAAAATAATCATTTGAAGATAAAATGTCCAGAATTTTCTTGGGAAATATATGAGGAAATCTGGAATTCTTGGAACAGTAGCTACATATGGCAAGGCATTAAGTATGCCAATTAGTGGGAGAGTTTGGGGCTTCTCTAGGGGAAGTAGATGGGGAAAATGAATTAAGGTGTAAAATAGAATGTAAACCTACAAGCTGAGTTCTGTAGAGGTATAATGTGACAGAGATAGGAATCTATGACATAGAGAGGAAATCTGTGTTCACCCTATTTTTCACTCTGCATCACCCTGTTGAATTTGATACTATAAAGCAATTGTATTCTACTGTCACTAGGATTATTAGCAGCAACAATCTAAAGCGGCTAAAATGTCAACACCTATCTTTCATTGATGGGATATCTTATCCACATATCATATTTATTTTCGGAAATCTTATTAGAACTACATTTTCTTAAAATTGTACAGTAATTTTATCCCTTTGAAATATTCATTTAATCAGTTTAAACTCTGTTGCAATTTGATTCTCCAATACGAGCTTTATGTCAAGTTCCCCAACAATTCAGTTTAAAAAAAAAAAAATCATTAAATATTTAGTTACTTCATAAAAGGCTCTAGAGAGTCATCAATAAAACATCAGCCTGCTGGGATTTGTAGATTACATGAAATTAAAAGAAGAGACTTTGTTTCAAGGACTGCTTTCTCTTTTGGCACTACTGTGCTCTAATGAAAAAGGAGTGGTGTAGACATGGTGAGTTTTAAAAGATACAGTCATGATTATCTAAAATAGGTCTTCTCAGCTGTGTCCTTCAGATCACTGGACTTCAACATCTGTAACATCTAGTCAGGATAGCCAAAGGC